GCCCCCACCGCCACCTCCTCCAAAGCCACCACCACCTCCACCAGGTCCTTTGGGTTCTGTTGGAACACATAAAAAATAATTTTGCAGAGATGAGACTGACCCAGCAAACTTCTCTTTCACGAGAGCAGCTCTTGTAACTGGGGAAAAATGGATAAGCTTTCAAAACACACAAGGCTTTCTTCAAGCTGAACCACCTCAGCTCCCATCAGCACCACTGTTATATCATGAAAGAGGTGGTGCAGTAAACATAGCTACTGTGTTTTATTAAGCCACTCCACTTTACTCTGCTGTGGACTGGAAGGCAGAGAAATGGCCACTTTGGAAAGTGTGGAACTAAAACTTGTAGGAGCCCAGAGAACACTGCGTTGTCTTTGTTAACATCTCTGCAAATGTGTAATTTCAGGGGAAATGAGGAGGAAGACTAAGGTGTTCCTCCTCTTGCAGATATCTCTAGTGTTTACTTCTGGGAATGCACCGACCTCTGTCAGTACTGGCATGGTTGCAACATATCTTATTTACATCTACTTATTTACACAAAACCTAGTGGGGAAAGAGATTTCATTTCTGATTACTTTCCTGTAGGTCCAGAAATGCAATGACAGAATCATTAGCAGCTATTTTTTCCAATAGGAGGAAATTATTATTTCAGCCTCTCTTCCTCTCCCATTTTTCTCCAATGCTGTCATTTCTGCTGTGACAAAACGGAGATACTCAAAGCAAAAGGAAAGTGTTTCCACAATTATAAATGCATGGAAGGACCTATTTGGAGCATCACTGCCAAAGGAACAGGGACACAAGTCAGGATATTTGTGGAGGTCCCAGGCAATGCTCAGCATGGCTGTGGATCAATTGCTTAATTTCTTTGCATCTTAATTTCCACAGCTTTGGTTGGGTAAAAATGTCTCTCTCTCTAAACTAAGACCTGTGGATGAAAATCACTTCTAAAAACTCCACCTAGGGAAAAAAAGTAGAAGGATTGTATTCAAGGAAGAATGTTAAACACTACCCTTCTCTTGAGCATGTTAGCTCAGTTCAGCTCTGACTCATGTAGGGTGTGAACCTCTGGAAAATGCTGCTGCTATGTTTTAGTCTTTCATCATGATTTACTAATTCGTGTAAACAAGATAATAAACCACGTAATTTTAATCTTACTCTTTAGATCACCTTTAATCCCTTAATGCTTTTTCTCCAGATCTGTAGGATACTTAGAGAGTACTGTACTTCCAGACATAATACTCAAATATTTAAAACCAGGTACAGAGCTGACTACAGCTGACTATCTTTTTTCAATATTTTCATTTTTCTTGGATCACCTTGCTTCGATGTTTCCTTCTTTCCTCATCACCTTCCCACCACAGTCCTGCTCCTAATTGCATAGGCAGATCTGGAGTGAGTCGTGACACATTTGCTAATCTGTCTGAGGAAACGTCTCTGCTCCCCGGGCAGCAAGTGCAGTGGGACTGACACGGCGTGACTTTGTGTCTCGCTCCTCTGGTGCTTCTGCCCCATCTTCCCCACGCTTTGTAGCACACGGGCTCTGCCAGGCTCCTCTCGGCATCTGCCGAGATGCACTGCGAGACGCAGCAGCAGTTCAGGCCGATGGAGACTTCTTCTCCCTCGGGTAAGAAGGGCTGCTGTGTCTGCCAAGGCACGGTCTGGCAGGCTGAGGTGAAGCCAGGAAGACAACCCTGGTGAGCCAGCCCAGGAGAGGCAACCCTGGCGCAGAGCAGCCGGGCGATGCCCACAGAGCTGCGGCTCACAGCTTTGGCTCTGCACTTCCATTCATAAAGCAATCCTGCCATACGAAGGGCACCCTTACTTTTATGCTGTTTGTGCACAAGTGGAGGTTTAAAACTCCACTTTATTCTCTGGGCTGTTCTCAGTGCTGAGGGGCTTTTCTGTGCATTTGATCTGCTACATCTTCTCAACAGAGCTCTTTGTAGGGGTTGCCCCACTTTCTGATTTAGGCAAATGAGAAAAATCCACTACTTTACAAGAGTCAGCAAACAAATTTCCGCTCACATTTCAGAAGTAATAATTGATTTCTCAGCTGACTTAATCCATGAACAGAAGTAACTTTTGTTTATGCCATTTTTTGGCATTTTACCTGCTTCTCTCATGGTGCTTCATCTGCATGAAATAGTTCTCTGCATGCAAATTCAAATATATCACACCATTCAAGCACACTGAAGCACAAACATACTGAGTAATACTCACTGTCTAGAATTGGAGCACTTCTGTCATTTGTAACAGTCTTCTTTAGCTTTTTTCCCTTGGTGATATCAGATAATAGAGCATTTCGCCCTGCTTGCTCTGACCTGCTCAAGGATGGTTTTTCAGTATTTGCCTGCAAAATAAAGTTAGAAATGGGAGGTAAAATAAACCTCAATTTCTAGCTACCAAGTTATGCTCCAATATGGTAGTTACCAGACACCTCAATTTGTAATTTAACAGCCCTAGACCTGATAGGGTGCCACGTCTAGTTTTGTGGATCAAGTTATGGATAGCTGCACTCATGACCGACTCTAGGCCTAAAACACTATTGCTAGCCCAACCCAGAGAGCTCTCTGGAAGGAGAATGCTTTTATTTGAACTTGCATTTTTTTCACTCTACATTTAGAGTCTCAGTTACTTCAATCCTTAACATACAAATAATGAATAAATTGGCATAAAGAAAGTTGTTACTACTTTAATTTTGACAAATACCTTAACATGTCAGTAGCCAGTATTAACAATATGAATCTTCTTAAATATCAATAAAAGCAGAACCTGCTTGCACTTTATGGATTGCAACTAAACTGTGATTTTTCATCACATTACAATCTGGAAAGTGTAACAAGCATGGAAAAATAAGCAGAGAAAATAATGGTATGAGAACGTAAACTAAGAAGTTTAAATTTCTGCCAACAGTTAGAAATTACTGGAAGAGAAGAACTCCGACTTATAAAAGTTAAGGTTTGTTCCAGAGGTCTTCTTTTTTTTGTGTTTTGGTGGCTACAATTTTTCAAGAAAGATCCAGAAAGTATATAGACGTATGCACATACGTACATATGTTTTTTGTTGTTCTAGGGCTTGGTGGTTCCTGAAAATTTTTCTAACATATCAGATCAGTGTTATGGAGATTTCCTGCAAGTTGCCATGAAGGGACTAAGGACAGAGCTAGTGCAAGGGAGAAGGTGGGAGCACAGGCTGGAGCAAGGGGAGAGGCAAATGCAGTTACTGGGGCCCAAAGAAGCTGCTGAGGCCCCCACGATGCTCAGTGGAGGAGGATTCCTGCACCAAACCCAACACAGGAGTGGGAGGAAGAGGAGGGTGGAAAGCCAGTGTGGCTGCTTATACCATGGGGGCACCGGAAAGGAGTGGCAGTAACGATCCCTCTCGTAGGATCGATCATCAGCGACCAACAAATGTAAAAGAGTGTCCTCCAAACGCCTGCTACTTGGCATATACTCAGTATAAAGGCACATCCTTGTCCACATCCTTGGTTTTTGCGCTCTCTGGTGTGGCAAGCAGCACTAGAAGACAGAACATTCTGCATGTTTCCCTCCCGCAAAACTCACCAAGGCCAGGGTTGGCGGCGGTGGGGGAGCTGGCGGCGGCGGCACTGGCATGGTGGGCGGCCGAGCTCCTTCTGACCTCGTCCAGAAACCTGTGCAGCAAGAGACACACACACGTGACCCAGAGATCAACACATCTGTCACCTTCGGGAATACCTCCTACCCAGCCACGAGACATCCCCGCAGCTAACAGACTTGCCTGCTACATTTTCCAAGTCTAATGGAATTCAGTCACATGCAACAAAAAACAACAAAGATGAACTCCATCAAATCCACCAATCTTGTCCACAGGCAGGTACTGCAAGATAATCCCATTGCTAAATCACCAACCTTTACTTCAGGAAGGCACCAGCTCTTCGAGACCTTTCACATCCTTACTCAGAAAACAGTGTGGCCTTTTTAAAGCCACTTAGCTGCCACAGGACAACATACACTCCTCCTTTGGGGCTGGGGTGGGAGAGCAGACATCTAGGAAAGACCCACGCGCCTGCCCCTGCCCCTTGTCACTCTTAGCAGCCCATATGCAACACCTCTGGTGGCACCTTGCTCCCTGCTAGAGCAGGGCCATCAGTGTCCCCAGGAGCGGCATGAGGGCCCTGCACAATGTGAGCCAGCGGCATCCTGGACCCCCAGCCACGGGCAAGGGGCAGCCAAAAATAAACCAAGGTCAGCGTAAAGCATGTGCTTGCTGGACAAATGCTGCCTGTTGTTGAAAACACCCCTTTGGCCTGCATGCTTTTTCTCTTGCCCTTTCACATGAGGAAGCTTTAGTAACAGTGACTGGCCATCACATCACTCTTGCACACGAGAGTTAAAAGCAGTGGAAGAGGAATAAGGACTATTCTCCTGCACTGCCCCAGATGTGGTTACCTACAGGAACACAGTCTTGTACTTTCCTACAGCACTTGGCTACTTTTCATGGCACCATGGAGAACTGTCAGAGCAGGAGCTATCAAATCCGCTTCATGTTAGGGACAGTGAGAGACTTACTTAAGAGACTAAACAAATAGTAGAAAAACAAAATGGAATTGTCAGCTACTATTTGAAATGAGTCACCACCTAAAAAGTCTGTAATGCCCTGAGATGATCCAAGATACGTAAGTGTGCTAGAAAAACCCGTTAGAAATACATGTTTCTCTCATCAGATGCTTGTGCTTTAAAAGAAACAGAATACAGCTCTCCTGGGCAGCTGTGAGCCCAAATAAAACATTGCTGAGCTGCCTTCCCAAGAAGACAACTTTCCTGAAATGACACTTTACCCCAGTTTTGCCTAAAACTTTTTGAGAAAAAGGGCTGGGAAAGGGAACGAACAGCATCAGCCCTGGCTGACGACCTTGCAAAGCGAGTGGAGCTGAAGGGGGCCAGAGGCCCTGCAGGCCTCGCTCGGCTCTGCCGCAGAAACCGTTTCTCCTTCCTGTTGCCGAGAAAGAGCAAGCGGAGCAAAGGGGAAGCTGACGGACGCAAGGACTTGCCCAGGGGACTCAGAGCCTGCACGGGGCTGTACAAACACGCACACAGGCCCCAAAGGGGCACAAAGTTCCTCATCATTCCTGCCGGCGAGTTACTCCTAATATTAAATCATATCCAGGGAAGCACAAGTTTCAAACTCAGGGGATCTGTTTGAATTTTGTTAGTTATGCATCATTTTTCTAACTTTCAGTCATTACATAAAACTCTGCACAAAGCCCAGTCCTTTGCCAGTCCCCTTATACTGAATTCAGTGTTTAAAATCTGAAACCTATTAAAAGCACGCAGACTAACGCTGCTTTGTTCTTCAACTTCCTGTTTAAAAAAACAGTCAACAGGAAAATTATTTCTTGCTGCAGACCACAACCATCCTGTTTCTTAACACAGTCTCTTCACAGCTGCAGTTGTCTCTCGCCTAACGGTGCCATTAGGCCATTTCACCAGGCTTTTAACTCCTTCAACCGATTAAAATGCTATAAAAATTAGCATGTGCCAAGCAAGCCCCATAACCCCCAGCACACAGATGCGATGGCATTTTGCAAGCACAGAGCAAGGTTCAGCAACAGGCCAAACTCAGGCACGATTGGCTTAAAGTCTGATGTAAGTCTCCTTCAGCAGAGCTGTTTGCCCTTTAGGTTTGTGCTTTGGTATTTTTGGGTGATATCTTCCTATGTAAGAACTGCTAAAATGGAGACGGTAATTTTGAGTAATTTGAGGGGAGCGAAATAAACTAGATATGGCATGTAAACACAAAGTATTAAGTGGCTCTGGAACCATCAATGAGCCTTTAGAGGACTATGCTTTATCACCCAATAAACTTATTTTACATTTCTACCACAGTGTTTAGAGTGAAGTACATATAGCCAAACTACTCAGCTTAGCCAGAAGTGTACTCGAGACAGCCAAAAGGGCAACTTTCCAATATGGAACTATGAAATATGATGCCTATATCTCTGTGCTGTATTCTAGCATATATTTCCCTAGGAGCCATCAGAAGAAATATTATATAGGAGGCAGACACCTGCATGCCCCCCGCCCCAAGTATAACGCATGCATTTATAGAGTCAGTAAAACACATTAGTTTATCAAATTTTAGCTTCAAGTATAAGTCATGACACTGTTTCGTTCTTACTTTTGTCACACTCTGACTCAGCCCCTGCCAAGAAACTTAAATAGAAACTTTGCAGCAAGAAATAGGCCTCTGTCTTCAAAGTCCCATCTCACCCTTGCTGTTTGGCCTTTAGATTTCGTACCATCTATTTCTTTGTCTTCCTTTATGTAAGCGAAAAAAACGGCATATTCTTGATTATGAATCTGATCAGCACAAGTGGAGAGGAATAGCAACAGCGGAGCCACGAGCAGCGGGGAGGCCTGTGCCCCTTTGGGGCTGCCGGGCGCAGCAGCCGCGTGGCCCCGCGCGGGGCCCCTGCTCTGCAGCCGCCGCGCTCATCACGGAGCCACCGGAGCTCCCTCGGCGCGGAGGGAGCACGGGGGCCCGAGCAGGTCAGCTGGGGCTCTGCAGCCAGAGGAAGGCTTTGGTTATTGGGCTATACTTTGGCAATGCATTCAAATTTGTCTTATATATTATTTCTCATACATACGAGAAATAGGCATTATGTGCTCTTGATCAGTGGGGAAAAAAGTCTCATTTTAATAAACAGTCATTATGCTCATTTACTATTTCACATGTTTCATAGTATCAGCTGGTTGTAACTGATCCACAAGTAATAAATTCAATTGACTTGATTAACTACCAAGTTATATATTCAGTGCTGTGCAGTATAGAAAAGGAGAACAAATCCACACCCTCCTCCCCCCCAAAAAAAAACAGAACAGAGGCTAAAGGAATATCAGTACTTTGAAATTTAGTTTGTATTTCCTTGCACACATTCCAGGCAGTGGTTTAAGTTATCACTACTTGCAAAATAATATAGAATTGCTACATTTAGTGATGCTTCGTTCTGCAGATTAATGCAACCAACACACAGTTGCTCACACCAGAACTGAAGACTCTGAGCTCCAAACACCAAACTTTGCCTCATTCAAAACAGAGGGACGTGCACAGCTGGCCACAGCAGCAGCTGCTTTGCCCTGCGCGCGGGCACCGGCGGGAGCCCTCCTGCCCAGAGGCGGGCGCTGCCAGAAGGCAGCACCAGGCAAGAGGCTCCAAGCGCAGCCTGCAACACGTCACGCTAAAAAGAAGCATCGCTGAAAACGCAATGCACAGCTGAGAGACAAAACGGGTTCCATTCTGCTAACGCCCCTTGCTCTGCAAGATGCCTTCTGAGGGGGGGATACAAAAAGTGGCGCTAAACTAAACTCTGAAAAACAAACTCTGGAAATTTAAGGTGTATGTTTGGTACCTAAAGAGTATATTTCAAGAATATATGCTAAAAAATACTTCTATGTGGGATGGATGGTGGGAAGAGCTGGGGTGCAACTACATTCTTTGCATATAGTCAGACATTTTAAGTGGCTGCCAGGCCCCTTAAGCACATCGCGTCAGACAGCTCCGCGTGGTTAATCATTTCCTGCATGATTAATTTCCAAGCAAAAAAAGAGGAAGGAACAAACAACAACTGCAGAAATAAAAAATAATTGATAGAACCCAAGGGGAAAATGAATGAAGTCATCAATTGAGCTGTCGATTGTAGCTCTGTGCAGGACGGCCAAACTTCCAAAACAGTATCGATCGATTCTTTTGGAAGGTTTTGCCTTCTGCTACTGACAGAAAGGAAAGTTTAAGAAATGTGAATTTGAGAAAACTAGGCTAGGTTGCCAAGGAGGTAACACACACATATGTGCATGCGCGTTCTCTCTCTCTCTCTCTCTCTCCCCCCCTCCCCCCCAAAAAAAAATCCAGAAGCAAAAAAGATAAGTGTAAAAATGATTTTAAAAAAAAATTGTTTCCTATGGAAAAATTCAGTTTTATGCAGCTCAAAATATTTTTCCCTTTTTTTTTTTTGGAATGGTGTACAGAATAATTTTGATTAAAAATACTACTGTGTTATCTTATGAAATCTGTTAGACTCCCAGTTCCCATTTGCCATGTTCCCTGGTGGGCCCGAGCCATTGGCACATCTCCGTGTCCCATGGTGGAGCTCAGGAGGCTCCCGCACGACGGCTCTATGTTGGGCACCTTGGTGCAGAAGTGCAGAAAGTTTTGAGCAAGAGCAGCATTAGAGGATGATGCTTCCATGCAACACCAGGCCAGTAAACACCTACTGAGAAATACCAGATATTTTCCTCTTCTTTTTATCACAACAAAACCGATGTACAGAGACCTATAAATAAGCACGCACAGATGTTTCCAAACCCCTAAGGGATAGTAAAACAAACCAGGAGCACAACCTTGGGAGAAGTTCCCTGCGCGGCAAAGAGTGAATGTTTTGGAGGTGCTGCGGACTCGGTGTCTCACACACGGCGGTACCCCCAGGCTCTGCCGGGCGCCGACGCAGCCACGTACGCGACCCGGCTGCGAGGCAGGAGGGCGGCTGCAGACGGGGCAGACCTCCCGCAGCCTGGCAGCTCACGGAAAAGTGCGCCACCAAAACACTGGTAACGTCCGTGAC